ATGTTATTTTTAATAAGAAGACTCTTGGACTTAAACTGCAATTTTTCTACCCGATTCCCCCTTAAGAGAGTCTCTTTCAGCCCCAGCTGAGACGGAAATGAGGAAATGAACCTGACATCCACTCTATACATCCCTTTGATGAGAGTCACCCTTCAGGAGGAGAGACCTCATTGAAATGTAATTTTTTCCCCATTAATCATCCACCCAGACAGCTCTCAGTTCTCCAATTCTCTTAAGCAAATAACAACCAAAAAAAAAAAATCTTTTCTTCAACCTCTAAGTGCAGATTTCTGTAATAAAAAGCATGGCATTGAAGCAGTTATCTCCTCTCATCTGGTTTTCCCTTTCATACTCACAAAGGTCTCTCTCTCTCCCCCCACCACATCTCTCTCTCTCCCCTTGTCCTCACCATCTTCCTTTCTTTGAGGCCAGATGCATGCATGGAAGAGATAGCATCATCATAGGCCAGGACTGGTCTCCATGGAGTCCAACTTTGAAAAGTCAAGCAACCCTGGGCTTGGCCCCAACCCATACAATTTCCCTGGGTGCTTCCTGCCTGAACTCCTGATTCCTTGGCCTCTTAAAGTGGGCATAATAACATTAACAGCTCAGGCTTTCTGACGGCCGGGGACTGCCATTGTTGAATGCGTAGATTCAACAAGTATTGACCGGATGTCTACTGGGTGCTGGGACCAAGGGATTTAGCCATGGGCAAGATGCAGTGGGAGGCCTCTTGGCACTTTCTTTCTAGGGCCAGTCCTGGAGAAGGCATTCTTGAAATGGAAATTGCAGAGTAGGGATCCCCAAGACAACTGTGACTGATTACAAATTTGGGGTCCCCAAGCCTATCCTCAGGGTTCATAATTTGCTTAAAGGATTCACAGGACTCACTGAAAGCCACTGTACTCTGTCACAGTTTGTTACACAAAATAATTTAGATTAAAACTGGTCATTGGAAAAAAACATGGAGCAGAGCCCAGGGAAGTTCCAAGCATAAAAATTCTAGTTGTCGTCTCCTAAGTCCCAGATAGCACTCACTTTTCCTGGCAATGATGTATGACCACACACATGGAGATTCGCCAGCCAGAGAAGCTCGTGTGAGCCTCCATACCCAGAGTTTTTATTGGGGTTCGGGCACGTAGACATGTATGACTGCCTATGTGGCTGGCCTTTGGCCTCCAGTCCTTCCAAAGGTCAGGTTGGTACTGGGTGACCGAAGACTCCCACCATAAATCATACTGTTGACATAGATAATCTTGTGTGGCCTAAGATCTCCCAGGTAAACAAAGACACTTTTATCAGACAGGACATTCCAAGGACTTAAAGGCCACCTCCCAGGAGCCGGGGACAAAGGCCAAACTCTCTCTGGGCAGTGTGAATTCTTCACTGCCCATAAGTTTAGCTGCAAAATCACTCAAGATGTGAACTTCACTCTTATCTGTGTCTTCTTCTTCCAGCCAATATAGCACTACTCACACAGGCATGCAAAGATCACACACAAAGAAAAGCAAAGGAAAACCATGCAAATGCTCAGCAAATGGGGACATTTAAACAGAGGAAGGTGCATCCGTGCTGGGGGATACAGAGCAGCAGATAAAATTATGAGGCACTGCTCTATGATAGCTCTGTATGGTAGAAGGAAATGCTGTTGGTGAAAAAGTCCGTTGTGGAACAATTGTTATTAAGTAACCACTTGGCCCTGGGCAATTTATTTAACCCCTTGAGCCTCTTCAATTTCCTTGTCTCTAAAATGGGGCAATGCTTTGATCTCCTACCCAGGTCTGTTGTGAGGAGTAAATGGAGCCACATCTAAGAAGCAGCTGGCACAAGTGGGGCTGAGCCTGGGCCAGCTCTTAGCACCGTGGCTTCACTCTCAAGTCCTCAGGGTGAGGCTGCAGGGCACAGGGAGACTTTTCTGAGGGGCTCTTCTCGGAGACATTTACTACCAGGCAGCAGCCTTGACCACTCAGACATTCATGATTCATTTGGTAGACTGATCAATTTGTTCATTTCTCCATAATAAAGCCCTGTACTAGGTGTTGGATTTTGAGGAGTAATGAAGCCACACAAAGTCTTTACCTTCAAGGAGAAACCAGTCCAGGGTGGAAGACAGACTGCAAACTTTAGCCCAGAGATGGGGTGAACTGGCCCAAGCTCACACAGCCGGTCCTGAATGTCCTGCTCACAAATGAGACAGATGCAAAGTAGATGTTCCACCAATTCTGTGTTGAAGTGAGGTGGGCTGAGCGGATGGGGCAGGGGCCATCATTGTGTCTCTGGCCAAAAGGGCTGCATGTGAAGCGGCCTGGATGTCTGGTCATGAGAGAGTTCAAAACTTCAAGGACGGGAGAAGAGTCAGGGTGGTCGGAGCAGAACGTCCACGAGAAAGCGAGTGGAAAGAGGTGGTCAACAGGGGTCCAAGGGGCAGAGTTTTGAGGGCCAAAGTGAGGAGGGGACTTTATCCCTAAGGTGATGGAGGGTCTGTGAAGGGTTTTAATCCAGGGGTGGCATGTTAGAGTTGTGTCTGCAAAAGATGCTCCTGCTCATGGGACAAGGAAAGGCAATGGGTGAGAGAGGAAGCAGGAATCTTGGTTAGAAAGCACCTGCCATCATCCAGGCCCAAGAGGCGCTGTGTGTCCTGCCACAGTCTTCTTTCCAGGAACCTTCGCTTCCTCCGGCTGTCTTGAGAGTTGACTGCTAATGTAGAGTGTGCTTGAGCCAGCTCCTCTGGGCTTGAGAGAACTCGTTGTTAAATATTCAGGAAATTTGTGAGCCCATTGTTAAACCATTGGTAGCTTTGCAATTGGCATAGAGGAAGTATTGACACCACAGACATTGGCAAAAGCTATAAATCAGCACTCTTCCTCCTGTGGCCCCTGAGAGTTGGTTTACCAGAGTACGAATGCTTCTAAAGACGCTGCTGCTGCCTTCTCTGGAAAAGTGTCCATGACTGAGAAGGTCCTCCTTGCCCACCCCACAGGCATCGTATAGTTGATGACTGACTGACATGGGGTTTGAATGCTTTGCCTTGCACCTAACACAGTTTCAACTCCGTGGCATCATTTTTGTTCCAGGGCTCCCCATGGGACTGTGCTAGACTCCAGCTGAGACCAATCGTTGCCCAGACCCTTTCTGCCCTCACTGCCTTTCCAGCTTCTCCTTAGAGCCCTCCTTCAATACATGTCTTGTGTGAGGATCTCACAGCATTTGGCCAAGTGTGATGCCCAGACCACTTGTATCATGGTCCTGGAATCCCACCCTGGACCTACTGAGTCAGAGCCTTTGGGTTTGGGGCCCTAGCACTTGCCTTTGTAACAAAGGCTCTTTGAAACTAGCGTTTGAGGGAGCTTGGCTAAAGTTAGAAAAACAGAACAAAGATCTGCAGGAACACAGCAGCCTTGAATGCGGGACCCAAGAGAGGAACCCCACCCTATGAATGGACCCCAGGAGAGACGTTCAAGAGTTGCATTTTATTGACATCAAGTAGCAAACATTCCTGTGTCCCCAGGAAGGGTGAGGTTCTGTGCCAGGTTGGGATGAGTTTACTGAAATGTTCGAGAAAGAAAGCGCTCTTCCCGCGGAGAACACCGCTCTTAAAACTCCACCTCCCCATGGCTTCACATCAGCAAAGCCCAGAGATCGCACGAACCACACATGGAGACCAATAGGACTGAGAAGGCAGATCTGCCGGGGTTAGGGAAGAACTTGAACCTGCGGCTGCAAAGTCGGCGCTCAGCAGACACTCAGGATGCTCTCTGCTCCTTTCCAAGATCTGGGCCTTCCTTTTGATGACAAAAGTTGCCTTAGCCCCAGCTCCTAAGCACTTAGAAACAAAATAAAATTAAGTTTTGAATAACAAGTCTTCAGTTGTTGGGGTGAGGTCACTGTTGAACCACTGTGTCAGGCCCAAAGAATGTTTCCATTGCCCGCCGCCTCTCGGGTGACCCCCTCGAAGGAGGCCCGCCTGCTACAGCAGGTCACAAATAGAGGGCAATTAATTTTTACAGCCCTCTGCTCTCGGCGGCCACCACATGCTGGGGTGAGGTCACTCTTGCCGCTTTATTTTTATCTGTTTTAAAGATGTTGGTGCCTTGAGACTCACACTTCCCCCGTGAGCTCAGATCCCCTGGTTCACAAGTGGCGGCTCTGCAGAGCTCCATGGTGGGTGACTGTGGGTGACAGCAAAGACCACTACCTGATATTGTGTGAGCTCAGACGAGTTCCTTCCCCTCTCAAGGCCTTGGTTCTCTCAACCCCAAATGCTAAGCATCGACTAGACTAGCAATTCCCAAAAATCAGTAATTTCTGAACCGCCACCATCATGTTGTCCTGACCCAGCACCTGTACTATAATTCAAGTCCCTATTTTTCTTTTTCTGTGAATCACCTCACTTTTCTAATGAAACATTTAACTAAAAGGGAACTTGATATCATTATCATAAATGGAAGTCGATTTCCTTGCCATTAATGAAAGGTAACTACAGAAATAAATACCTTGACCACAAATGAACATTGCTAAATTCCAGCCAGATACTGCTGCCTGCTGATGGCTTCAAGCCTGAGGCCTCTCTCTCTTTGTTCAAAAGGGAGCTTAGAAGTGTCAGGAGGTGCTAAAGACTTAGTGCCAGATGAAGAATTTTCCTTTGATCTAATCAGAGGGGAATAATTTTCACACTATATAAATCGATGCCCTAAAATCTAAATCACCTTCCCCTCAACCAGCAGCTTGGATGAAGAAGCTGGGAACTTGGAAAGACACTGGTTTAGATCTTTCCTACAAATCTTTACTTTTGAGTGATGATATAAAGCTCTAGATTGCTTCTGGAGCTTTCTTCCAAGCTACCCAGCATTTGGCCAAGTGTGGTGCCAGGAACACCTGTATTACAGTCCTGGGACCCCAACCTGGACCTACTGAGTCAGAGCCTTTGGATTTGGGGCTCCAGCACCTGCCTTTGTAGCAAAGGCTCTTTGAAACTAGCATTTGAGGGGGCTTCACCCAATTTAGAGGAACAAAATGTGGCACTCATCAGAAGGCCTACGGGAACAGACCAGCCTTGAATGAGGGCTGGAGCCTTCAATGAGAGTGGACCGAGAATCCAATGTGGTTAGTGCTGGCGGTGTCGGCCGCTGTGCACTTGTGCAAATAAACGATTGTCTTCTGGATAAGGTAGAAATGCCTGGTAGACTTATTCTGAGCCAGAGAAGACCCAGCAAATTCCTCTGACTCTGTCCTCAGAATGGTGTGGAATGAACTCCACCCCTTCGATCCCAGAAGAGACCTTAAGGAGTTGGATTTTATTGACGTCAAGTAGCAAGCATTCCTGTGTTCCCAGGAAGGGTGAGGTTCTGTGCCAGGTTAGGATAAGATTATTGAAACTTTTGAGAGAGATAGAGCTCTTCCCGCTGAGAAGCGTCAGCCTAGAGCTGTGAGCTGGGCTGGGGTGCCAGGCTGGCCCTGTCTCTGCTCTTGCAGTTTCACTGGGAGTTGTCAGCTCTGCCCTCTCTGCCAACAGAAACCTGGAAGCAGCCATGCCTTTCTGCCTCCCGCTCGCCCTCCCAGCAGGTCTGATCAATGTCCGTTTTAAACCAGGACATTTCTTCTTGCTTTGGAGCCTGTGAACACACGGCGCTCTGGAGCCCAGCTTCTCCTTGTTTGTTGTTGTGCAGGGACTGCCATTTGGAGAGAAAAGTCAAGTTGGGAGGCTCTGCTGCAGCCCCCCTCTTTGAAAACCAGGTGAATTCCAAGCAAGGGCAAAGATGATCATGTATCCTGAGAAGTCCCAAGGCTCTGTGCCTCGCCTCCTCATCTGAGGCAAGGTAGCCATTGTCCCGTCCTCATAATATGGCTAGGAGGAGGGAATCAGGTCAAGTCTACAAAGCACTGAGCACACACACTAAATAACAGAAGCTGTTCTGGGTGGGATAGTGTCCCTCCTAAAATTCATGCCTTCCCAGAACCTCAGAATGTGGGCTTATGTAGAAATGCAAATGTAATTAGGTCAGTTGACATCATAATGGATCAGGATGGGTCCTAAATTCAGCGACTGGCACCCTTACGAGAGGAAAGGGGTACAGAGCTATAAGAACACACAAGAGAGGAGCCACTTGGCCGAGAGTCACACTAAGCATTTTGTTAAACACGTTACACACATTATCTCCAATCCACCCACCTGATGAAGTTGATGCTGCCATCACTTCTGGGTTACCAATGGAGAAACCGAAGCCCTGGGATGCTGTCATCACTTCTGTTTTACAAATGGAGAAACCAAGACCCTGGTGCTCAGCTGCCCAAGTGCACCCAGGTAAGTGGCAGACCTGGAATTTTTAAACCCTTTTCTGTTTCCCAAAACCTTGTTTGTTCTAGTATCACTCAGCTCCATGAGGCAAGAACTGGGTAGGGCTCTTGTCTTCTAATGGATCTCATACCTGGCAAAGTTCCTGGCATGTTGCAGACCCTCAAAACAATGTGTAATGACTGCAGCTGGGCAAGGTGGCTCACACCTGTAATCCCAGCACTTTGGGAGGCCGAGTTGGGTGGATTGCCTGAGGTCAGAATTTCGAGACCAGCCTGGGCAACAGGGTGAAACCCCATCTCTACTAAAATAAAAATACAAAAAATTAGCCGGGCATGGTGGTGGCCACCTATAGTCCCAGCTACTTGGGACGCTGAGGCATGAGAATCGCTTGAACCCGGGAGGCAGGGGTTGCAGTGAGCAGAGATAGCACCATTACACTCCAACCTGGGTGACAGAGCAAGACTCTGTCAAAAAGAAAGGAAGAAAAGAAAAAGGAAGAAGGAAGGAAGGAAAGAAGGAAAGAAAGAAAGAAAGAAAGAAAGAAAGAAAGAAAGAAAGAAAGAAAGAAAGAAAGAAAGAAAGAAAGAAAGAGAAAGAAAGAGAAAGAAAGAAAAGAGAGAGAGAGAGAGAGAAAGAGAAAGAGAGAGAGAGAGAAAGAAAGAAAGAAAGAGAAAGAAAGAAAGAAAGAGAAAGAAAGAGAGAGAAAGGGAAAAGGGGAATGATTGCATTCTGTGATCCTGTAAATTCAGAGGATTTGGGAAGCGTACGCCCTTTATAGAGCTAGTAAATAAACAGTATATTGAAGGCCTACTGTGCACCAGGCACCAGGAACACAGCAACAAACAAAAGAGTCGTAGCTCTGACTTCGTGGAGTTCCCAGTCCAGCAGTGGGGCACTGACACTGAGGAGGTGAGCCCTGAGAGAAAGCAGGTGGTTCCTGTGCTGGTCATTGTACTGAGTGCAGGGAAGGACCTCACAGGGAAAAGCAGCACAGAGGAGCTGAGGATGCTGTGTGACAGAAACGGTGCCATCGTGTTGCCTGGGGTTCTCTCCGAAGGCCCGTGCTGCATCCAGGACTGTGGGGGCCTGGAGAGCAGGCTGTCTTGAGAAGATTCTAGAAAAGTCTAAGAGTTCATCCCTTTTATTAGCTGTATTGTTTACTCTTTAGAAAAAAATAAAAGGAGGTCCGGCTTTCTTCCCTTGGCCTCTAAGATGCCTGACCTTGCACCCAGGGCCTTCCAGGTTGGGCCCTTGGTAACAAAAGCAGGGGCCCCACAGTGACAGCCCCTCCAGCGAGGAGGCTGTGCTGCTCAGCCTGGGCCTCCCGCACTCCCCTGGGAACACGTAGCAGGTGCAGACAGCCAGCCTGGAACCTGGGAAGCTTGTCCAAGGCCACAGCCAGCAAACCCGTTTCCAGAGCATCCCCACTTCCTGGGGTGCGCACCCTCCTCCCTACTGATCTCCAAAGTCGAGCCCTGAAGAAATTCTAAATTAAAATACAAAAAATTAGCCGGGCATGGTGGTGGCCACCTATAGTCCCAGCTACTTGGGAGGCTGAGGCATGAGAATCACTTGAACCCGGGAGGCAGGGGTTGCAGTGAGCAGAGATAGCACCACTACACTCCAACCTGGGTGACAGAGCAAGACTCTGTCAAAAAGAAAGGAAGAAAAGAAAAAGGAAGAAGGAAGGAAGAAAGAAGGAAAGAGAGAAAGAAAGAAAGAAAAAGAAAGAGAGAGAGAAAGAAAGAAAAAGAAAGAAAGAAAGAGAGAGAAAGGGAAAAGGGTAATGCAGCCCCTGAAATGGAAGGTCAGGGAGAGGAGGTGCTGTGATGTCTGCGTAGGGTCTTAACTTCGGTTCTCTAAAGGAGAGAAGAAAGGAAGGGGAGAGAACAGCTGGAAAAAGAAAAAAGAAAGAAAATGGCTATTTATCTTGATTTTTATTTGGTTACAAAAATAACCCAAGTTTGCTCTAAAAAATTCAAACGTAAGAGAATCAGTTGGTCTTTAGGCTTTGGTGAGCGCAAGAACCTAGTGGGGAGATGATTTAAAATGCAGATTCTGTGGGCCCTGTCCTGGGGTGATTCCGGGGTACGCAGCTCATGGGGTGCACGCTTAGAAGTGCTGATGTAGAAAGTATGTGCCAGGCCGGGCGCGGTGGCTAACGCCTGCAATCCCAGCACTTTGGGAGGCCAAGGTGGGTGGATTACCTGAGATCAGGAGTTCGAGGCCTGCCTGGCCAACATGATGAAACGCCGTCTCTACTAAAAATACAAAAATTAGCTGGGTGTGGTGGCAGGTGCCTGTAATCCCAGGCAGGAGAATCGCTTGAACCCAGGAGGCAGAGGTTGCAGTGAGCCGAGATTGTGCCACTGAACTCCAGCATGGGCAACAAGAGCAAAACTCTGTCTCCAAAAAATATATATATATATATGTATATATGCCATTCCTTTCCAATTAGAAGCATTCTGCAGGGAGAGAAAGTTCCACCAGGGAAAGACTGGAAGGATGTGGGCCCCCCGGAGAGACTGCAGAAGCCTGTGCATGATGTCTCACCTTTCGGCAAGGATCCTCTTCTAGCTCAGAAATTCTGCTTTGGGACAGGACCCAGAGTGGAGTCAGCTCCACGTCAAGTCACTCAGAGGTTGTTGATGGGTTAGACGTGAGGTGCTGTGAGAAGCGTGGCTGGACAGCATTTAAAACAAACCAGAATGTCAGAACTCACCAAAGATCAGGACGCTGCCTAGAGCTAGCCGGAAGGGGGCTCCTAGGAAGATGCCAGCATCGACCACAGAGCAAAGATCTGCAGGCTGGAGATTTTAAGAAGTTTCTAAAACTTTTATTGTTGTTACATAAAACTGGCCAATTAATGTTAGTGTCACCAGAGCTGGGAATTTCTCCTGAGAAGCTCAGTGCTTGTTCCTGGTGGCATAAGCGAACATTTGTCCCACTGTCAGCTCTGAATGTTCATCCTTCAAGAATGTGGCTGCTCCTCACTCTAAATACACTGTAATCATTCTGTTTGGTCCTTAAATGAGCAAATCATTTTCATGGGTTTCTGAGGCCCAGATATGTTTGATCCCATATCATGGGATCAGAAAGGCCCATGCATGTTTTTGGAAAGTTCAGAAAACTCTGCCTACACATGTCAGCTGGGACGGCTTAGGAGGAGTTACCTGCTGCAACATGGACAAACCTTGAGGACATTGGGCTAAGCAAATTAAGCCAGTCATGAAAGGACAGACGGGATAATTCCACTTGGAGGAAGCACCTAAAGTGGCCGGAGTCATAGAGACGGGAAGTAGAATGGAGGCTGCCAAGGGCTTGGGGGAGGGGAAACGGGGAGGTATTCAGCCCGGGCAGAATTTCAGTTTGTGGTGATGATGAAAATGTTCTACTGGGCCAGGAGCAGTGGCTCACGCCTATAATCCCAGCACTGTGGGAAGCTGAGGTGGGCAAATCACCTGAAGGTCGGGAGTTTGAGACCAGCCTGGCCAACATGGTGAATTAACCAGGCATGGTGGCGGGCACCTGTAATCCCAGCTACTAGGGAGGCTGAGGCAGGAGAATTGCTTGAGGCCAGGAGATGGAGGTTGCAGGGAGCCGAGATAGCACCACTGTGCTGCAGCCTGGGTGACAAGAGCAAAACTCCATCTCAAAAAAAAAAAAAAAAAAGCTCTTTTGATGGAAGGTGGTGACGGTTGTACAACAATATGAATGATGTGAATGTACTTAGTGACCTTAAGCCATACACTTAAAAAGATAAATTTTATCCTATGCATATTTTGCCACAATTTTTTAAATAAAACTTCCCCAAATCTGCAAGCCTGACATCTTTGAGATTTGCATAAAGCTTCCATCTACAGTAAGGAAGTTTCACCTTATTGTCTGGAAGCCCCGACCTCTAAAAATTGGGGTCCAAGGTTCTCAGGTTCTTGTCACCCCTTCACCGCTCCCCCGACCCTCACTAGCCTATTGCTGCTCCCACTAACATTGCCCTCCAAGTACTAGGCCCACAGCCACAGGGGCCCGGCGCCGTCCCCACCACCCCTCCACACAAGCTCTTTTCTGTTTTACCAGCAGAACTGGGACCGGAAGGGTTTAACCCCAGGGCTCTGGCAGTTTCCATTTCTACATGTCAAAAAGGCTTTTTAGCCTAAACTTAAGCCGAGTATGCCTCCAGGAAATACTTGCTTCTTCCCTGTCCCCCAGGGAACCAGGCCTGGGGCCAGATGAAAGAAGCAAAGAAAAGGGAATTTATGCACTGAAAAAAATGGGGCAAGAAGGACTGCCAGCTGTTCTGCCCAGCTGTTCCGGTCACAGTCTGTCCCATCCTTGGGGACTGTGCTGGTCTGGTCACTGTGTAGGAGGTGGACCCTCTGCCTGAAGCAAGACTGTCTGTGCATGGAGAATTGGGAAGAACGTGGACCTGGAGTCAGAGGCCTGGGTGCTGGCTCTGTCTGAGCTGGACTGAGAAGTAGAAAGTGATGCTCGCTGGAAGGATTTGCTGATATAATCCACACAGAGGCTCGGCCTGTGTGCACACGGATCAGAATATGCCCTTAATGAGTGGTTATGCCCACGAAGAAGAAAGAGGAGAAGGAGGAGACAGAGGAGGAGGTGGGGATGGAAATGGTAACGACTCTCTCGGCCAACCCTCAGATCAGTCAAGCTGGTTACTGAGGTCACAGGAGCCCAACTCAAAGTAACTGAGAAACAAAAGGGAGTTTACTGGTTCATTTTAAAGTGTTTTTCAGAAGTAGGTCTGGCTGCAGGCACGGCTGGATCCAGGAATTCAGGCTCTGTCTTCTGGGGTCTTTCTCCTTCTTGCCTCTGCCTGCTTCTACTCAGCTTCTGGCTCTCCTCCTTCAAAAAGGCTCCTGTCCCTTGGCCCCATGGCAAAGACAGCAGCCTCTGCCATTTTAGGTGTGTGTCCTCTCAGTGGCAGGAACAACACAAAATGCTTCTTTCTGTGCTGCTCCAAGCACAGCAATTTCAGGCAATACTATTTCTGGCCCAACCTCTTGACAAGAGGGATGCGGCCATAACGGCTTAAGTTAGGTCACCTGCCATCCCAGGGGGTACAGGGACCAGGCACTGTGATGACAGTCCCAGAAGAATCATCCTTGTTCCCCAAAGGAAAGAGACATGGTCCAACATCATGCACTGTAGACCCTTCCTTTCCTTTCTCTTCCTTCCACTGCCTCACCTTTGACACCCCACTTTCCAGGGACCATTAAGACCATCAGGTGACCAACTGCCAGGTGGGAAAGGACCTGAATGACTTATCAGCCATTTGTACCTTCAACTGAATTCATTTCAGGGGGTTACTGTCATCACTCTCAGTTAAATGGTGTTCAGATAGTGGAATAAGGCAATGGAGGAGACACTCGAACGTGGCTGAATAGTTCATTGAGAAGACAGGCCAACTTTGTCTTTTGTTTTCTACACCTTCCCAGTGAGCCTGCTCCAGACCAGGAATGCTCACAAGCACCTCCACCGTTCATCCTGAATGGCTCTGGAAGCCAAGGCTGGGAAAGCCGTGGGAAGGTAGTTTGGGGATCTCCCTTGGTCTACCCCAAGGTTTTCCCCGGGGCAGCCCGACCCAAGCCTCCTGTGAGGCAGAAGCCATTTCCAGCACAGCACTTGGAGCGCTTGGAGCACCTTGTGGCCGACGTCGAATGTCATTCCTGCCCTACGTCTTCACTGCATTCATCAATGCCTTAGACAGTCACAGCACCCATTCCTCTGGCCACAGTGGTAGGCTCAGGAGTGGGCAGTTGGCCTCAGCCAGGTCATTTGGGCCCTTTCTGAAAATGGCTGTGTTTGCTGTTGGTGGTGAAGTGGCTTTTCCTTTTGGGTGTGGAGCTGCGAGGACACCCGTGGATGATAGCTTGGGTGCTCCCTGACTGCAGGGCAGGGCAGCCTCTTTTCTAGAAGCAGACCAGAAGCCACATAGAATCAAGTGAGGAGAGACACAGCATGATCCAGAAGACAGAGCTCAAGTCCCTAGATCCAGCCGTGCCTGCCACTAGCATTCTCCCAGAATTTCTAGTGAAAATGAGGCAGTACACTTTCTTTTTTTTCTTAGCTATTTTGCCCTAGGCTTCTGGACCTGCAATAGAAAGACTGATGGATCCAAAGATTGTCTGGAAGGAAAGAATGATCTGCCCAGAGTGGGTGAGGGAACCCACTCTAGGCAGGACCCCCATGAGCTGCCTCTGCTGGCTGGCCTGACATTCTCATTCAACAACTTACTGAGAATCAGGAAAAAACAGCTGGAACTCATGAGAGTCACCCCACGGGCTGTGCAGCCAGCTGCCTGATGCCCTCGGCTCTGCCACGTGCCAGCCCTATGACCTGGTGAAAGTCACTTCACATCTCAGTTTCCCCACCTGTAAGTTGGGTCGATGAGAGTAGCTTCCCCAGACCCGTAGGCTGTGGGAGGAAAGGAAAGCCACCAGAATCCCCCTCAGACCCATGCACGGCCCCACACCCCACTTCCCAGCACAGGTGGGCCATGCAGCTCTGGGGTTGCCAGCTTACTGTCCATCCTTTTCCTGAACTGAGAGTTACTTGGGGCCAAGGGTCTTCCTTGTGCCACTCACCATGGAGTCACCCCACTTTTGATGGCTTAGCTTTTAGTCAATAACGACTTGGCTAAATGGATGTTGAATGGATGCTGGGACTTTGCCTCATGGATTTGTGAGTGGTTTGCTCACCAGAGAAACACAGACACGTGCCCCTCCCAGGATCTTTTCATTCCCACCCCCAGTGCAACCTGTGAGGTCGTCATTTCTCTGTAAGAAGCCACAGTGTACAACCTCTGTCAGGGGCCCAGCTCGCCGGTGCTGAGAGCTTCCGTCTTTCCTGCCCACCTGGTAGTTGTCTGGAGGCAAGAGTGTCATGTCATTCATCCTAAGAACACGAGGCAGTCCTGGGATTTTCACACTGGAGTTCCCGTTTCTAAGGAGTTCTCTGGGTTCCTTGGTGAGGGAGGGGTCCTGGAAGAGACAAATGGAAGCTGGAGACTGGCTGGGAGCTCTGATGGCCATCAGGCTTAGAGATGAAAGTGGCCTGGCTGGGGAGAAGGCAGTGGGGTGAGTGTGGGTCAACCAGGACCTGAGCATGAGGGGTGAGGAGTACCCCAATTCTGGACCCAGGTTGCCTCACACAACAGGGCACTGCCACCTGCTGATTCACCATCATTGGCAGGTTACTTGTGTTCTCTGCGCCTCAGTTTCCTTTTCCATAATAGAATGCTGATCATAGAGCCTACCTCATAGGGCTATTGTGAAGATCAAATCAATTAATATATACAAATGCTTAGAATCAGCCATCAGCACACGGTGAGTGCAGTGTGAGTCCTTCCTTCCATCTTTATTATCACAGCCTCTTCATGTGGGGCATGACTAAGAGGCACTGATGTCCTGGATCAGGGACCTTGTTATTCATAGTTCTACCCCCAGGGGCCAATAGACAGTGGGGAGCTCTCCGAACACTGGTGCTGCAGAATCATAAGGAGCAGAAGCAGCTGATGGCAGGAGGCCCCCTGGCAGCCAGAGCCTTCCACCGTGGATGACATGTCCACTCAGACCTGACATTCCTCCTAAGTGGCTGCACAGGCTCAATCTCGGGGACACTAAGTGCTCCCTCTTCTATTTGCTGCAGAGAACAACAGTAGAAATTGTAATTTACAGGTTGTCTGCAAATTACCGCCTGGTCTGATTTATAATTCATAGTACAATATTTATTTCTAACAGGAAATTAATTTTGGAAACTCAGTGGGTGATTAAATTAAATTGCAAAACCATTCCACTTGCTTGGGAGGAGGGGGGTGAGTTACTGGAGATTATATTAAGAGATAAATTGGGAAGCATCTATGCTCGGAAAACCTGAGACAGGAGGAGGGAAAGGAGGAGGGAAACAGTTCATCCCTACTCGAAGGAGATGGCCGTCTTGTCAAACATTTGTTACAGAACATGTGCCCTCATGCTTTGGGGTCTCACAGTTACTCATAGCCTTTTCCCAGTGGATTTGTCATTAAGGCAAAGAAAAACAAAAGCTGAATTGACTGTATATCCAATTCAATGGCACTCTGAATAATGAACAATCCTAGGGAACAAGGTGGAAGCTCATAGCATTTTCACGACCAGTCTTGGGAGCCACACAGCATCATTTCTGCCATATTCCCTATCGCTCCACCCAAGCTCCTCCCACTACTGAATGGGAGGAGTGTCAATGTCACATTTGTTAGAAGAGCAAGTGGGGTGGAATCATTGATGGCACTCTTCTCTGAAAAACACAATCTGCCCCAGGGTATAATATCTTAGCCAAGAGCCTGACACATAGCAAGAAGCACCGTGAATGTCAGCCATTCCTTCTGGCTTGGGGGACGAGGAAGGTCACCTGGAGGAGATGGTGTTGGACTGGGCTTTGAGCAGTAAGGATTTCCATAGGCAGATGCTGTTGGGACACCTGGGGCAAAGGGATCAGAATGAACAAAAGAGAGAACAGAGAGAAAGGCTTGACAGAAGCTGATGGCCCCGCCTGTGTGGAGCGTCGTGAGTGTGGAATGTGGGGTGAGAGATTTCCAGGAGCCATGAAGGCCAGGTGTCCAGGACTGGACCTTGGAGGGAGCCCTTTAAGGGAAAGGTTTTGAATCTGATGGAAAACGTTTCTGATTTTGGAGTGAGAAGCAGCCCTAGAGATTTATTCCACCACTTGTTTATTCATTCAACAATTTTCCATGAAACAAACCCTAGTACATGCCAGATATCGGGGAATACACTGCTGAACAAAATAAACATGGTGCCTGCCTGTGTAGCTTACAGTCTTGCAGAAGAGACAGTGACAGCAATAGGCATATTATTACACCATGGCAGATTCTTGAGTGTTGGTGTGGAGAATGGCAGGGAGACACCTTGTAAGAGACTCTGGGAAGGGCCTCCTGGGTACCAACATTTTGGCTGAGTTCTGGAGGATAAAAGGGAGGGTGGGTGGAGATCAGCTAGAAGATGCATCCAAGGGAGAGGGGATGTGGAGAGAGGAGTGGGCAAGGCACCGAAAGCCACCAGTGTGCCTGGAATAAAGTGGGGTGGAGGAAGGGGAGGGTGGGGAACACAAAGCCAGGCAGCACCTATCATGAGGGTCCTCTGTGGTCACAGTAAGAACCACTGAGAGTTATTGGAGCATTTTACACATGCTCACAATGCCATCCAATTTAAGTTTTTAAAAGATGGCTCAGGCTGCTGAATGGAAAACAGATCAAGGGGTGGGTAAGAGTGGATGAAGGAGAGAGACCATTGGGATGTGGTGAGACCTTGGACTAGGGAGGAGATGAATACCAGGAATGGGATCCAAGATGTGTTTTGGAGGAAGATCTCATGTCACCTGCTGATGGATGGGAGGAGCAGGTGAGGAAATGTCTGGGATGTCAAGATGACTCCCAGGGTCAGGTTCTGCCCTGCTGTACCCTGCAGGGATGCCCACTGAGATGGACAAGGGCAACTTTGGAAGCAACCCCAGAGCACCATTTGGATGTTGGCCTTTGCCGCATGACAGAGTCATTATGGAGAGAGCAGGTGGATGCCTGGGTCTGAGACTTGAATCTTATCACTGACTCCAAATGGCCTTCATGGTGGTTTTGGAGAAGAGGAAATTGTGCCTGAAGTTGGTTTGGAAGACTCACTCCTGGACAATGTGGACTGGGGTGAGAAATGAGGGAGAAGGGGAGGTAGCTTGAAGGGTGCTGCTTTGAGGAGATGAGAGGACGAGGGCTCTGAACTCTGTCCGTTGCCGTAGCGAAAGAAACCCCAAGTTCATCAAGGGCCAAGGGGCTGAGCACAGTTGTCCCAGGGCCTCAGACGATGATTTCTCAATCAGGGCCAAAGAGCTCACACACTTCTAATCAAATAAGCTCATCAAAGGGGCAGCTAAGAGCCTGAATATCAGGGATTGTTCCACTGACATAATTTTTTACTGTGAATTAATTTTCTTTTAAATGTCCCAAAGAAGCACTGACAATCGCAATACAGTACTGAGGAGAGAGCAGTGGATGGGAGCTCAGAAAACATGAGATCTACTCTGACTTTACTGCTAACCAACTGGACACCTTGGGCACGTCATTTCAGTCTGTGGGCCTCAGTTTCCTTCATCTGCCAGGCCGGAGTAAAAATTAATGTATCACTCAGCAGAGCAATATTGATGCAAAAGCACAACCTGTGAGCTCACGTTCCCTGGATACTCACCAGCTAGTGCAGTACCATGAGCCACGGCAAGTACCTTCGCTCCTCAGCCCAGGTGGGATGGATTAGGAAGTGCCCAGGAGCCAACGCCCTCAGTCAGTAGGACCTGGGGGTTGGGAAGGTATGTCTGAGGCATGCCCCACACCATCTCCCAGGGGTCCCCAGTGAAATTGCCTACAAGGGTAGCAACTCCACAGCCAGTTCATTACCGCCCTGTGTCTGTTTCCTCCCTTTCCTTGCCTCTCCGTTCCTCACACCCCAACAGGAGCTTCCTGGGATCAATCGCCAAACAAATCGCTTGCACCAAAAGCCTCAAATTAGCCCAGGAGCTACTTCTGGGCCAGCCTCAGACAACTACAAACTCCAAATTCAGAGATCAGAAGGCATGAATAGTGGATGAGGCTACACACATGTACACATGCATGCACATACATGTGTACAGCACATAGCATCCAGCACAATGCCTGGCCCTTCACAGATGCTCAGCAAATATTTTTTAAATGAGTGAATTAATGAATGAATGGCCTTCCTTTTTGCAGCATTTACCTCAAGTCCCCGGCAGTTCAGGATATCAACAAAGGTGTCAGAAAGCACAGGCAGGATTCCTGGGGTGGGATCTGGGGTCATTCCAGGAGCCTGTCTGGGGATGGGAAGGGCAGGGAGCCCTCATCTTCCACTCTGCCCCTCCCAGCAGTCCTGCCAGTCTCTGCCGGGGGCTTCCCTCCCCCACCAGCTCTCTTGCTGGGCCCCCCACCCTAGCCCATCTGTTCAGCATGTGTAAGCATTGTCAAATTGTTTGAATAAATTGTCACTCCGATTAAAATGTTTATGTCTGCAGGATGACTCGTTTCTGCTAAATTGTACCCAAATAGTCTCACATTTGCTGTAGATATTTGACATCTGTGTCTGGTCTCCCCACTGACGACCAGATGGAGAGCTGGATCCACGCAGAAGTTCCCCTGCTCCCTTGTGCACTCATCACTCACAACCTGAAGCCACTCAGGGCTTGGGCCAAATGGGTGGGAGGGAGGATAGACTGGGTGTCTTGCCCACCCTGCCTTAGATAAACCTCATGGGTAAACACACACACACACACACACACACACACACACCACAAGTTTAATTTTCCTCAGATCAGACTTAGATGGCAAGATCTTTAGTGCCTCTTGGTCCTAACGTTGGCTCCAAAAATTTGAAAAAAAATTTCAGTGCCTTCTCAAAGATGGTCGATGTTTACTGTGTGTTAAAAAGTGCAATTAAAGGACATCCCGAGAAGACTCCCATACACCCCTGGGATCCCAGACTCAGCTGGTCAAAGCACCAGCACTTTTGCAAGGTACAGAACTTCCTTGTGATAGCCCTCACTCTACAGGATGGCTGGCTGTATAGATGGAAAAAAGGAAGGAAGGAAGGAAGGAAGATGGAAGGATGGATGGATGGATGGATGGATGGATGGATGGATGGACGGATAGCTAGATGAACATAATAACAAACATCATCTATTGAATGTCTGCTGGTGTACATGCAGCATTTACTTTCTTTATCACTAGCAATAATTAGTGTTCTATTATTGCATAACAAATTACCACAAACTTGGTGGCTTAAGACAACAAACATTTGTTATCTCACAGTTTCCATGGGTCAGGTGTCTAGGCATGACTTAGATGGATCCTTTACACAGAGTCTCAGAGGCTGCAATCAAGGTGTTGACTGGGCTGCATTCTCATCCAGAGACTTGACTGTGGAAGAATCTGCTTCCAAGCTCTTTCCTGCTGTGGGCAGCACCCATTTCTTTTCCCAACTCCTTACTGGTTGTCAGTTGGAAGTCCTAGAGGAATCCAAAGTTCCCTTCCACATAACTGGCTTTATAGGCAGTTCACACATGGCAACTTGCTTCTTCAAGACCATCATGAGGTTCTCTCTCCAGTCTGCTAAGATAGAGTCTGATGGTGGTCACCCCAGGAGAAACATGGCCTAGGGGATGGCAGCCCCCTGCCACTGAGGCAGTCCTCACAGGTTCTGACTCCTGCAACTGGCTGCTGATAGACATCCCAGCAGCTGGAACAGTCAGTTCTTCACGGGGGTGGGATCTGGGGATGTACTTCCATACCCACTACAGGTAACATAGCTGAAAAAAACAAAAGCAAGAGTGGTCCTGCATTTAGGACAGCTGTGAGCTGGATAAACCCAGCCCAGAGAAGCATCCACTGGACCTGGCTGTGTCTGGATGGCATCTGCCCAGACCTGTGCTGGGATGGACGTGTTCTTTTTCAATGTCAGCTGTAACCATTTCTCATCCAGGAGAAATTTCCACCTCCCTCTGTCTCTCTTCTCTAGG